AAAAGCAACCTAGTGTTAGGTTGCTGACTGGAAGGCCCTCGACTTCCCATATCCTCTCCAGAACTGATTTTTTTTTGTAGGCATGCTAGATGCAGAGGAAACAAAGGGCTGACCTTTAAATTGACATCAACTTAAAACTAATTTTAAAGAAGATACTTTAAATGCCTCTATATAGATATTCTTCAGATTATTGCTCACTGTTTAGAGTGAGACTAACCCACTGCAGTGCCCAAAAGGCTGAATGTAGATCACACAGCAAATATGATTCTGCAAGTTCAAGCGTTCAAACTAGAAAATGTCAGTATGAAAGTTTTTAATGTACACTTGCTGTAAGTGATATTTATATATGGTGACTATAATATTTAACAGTGCCTAAATGACAGCTACAGAATGGTTTGCAGAAGATTGTGTGGACTGTCAGAAGCAGCAGTCAAAAAGACAGGACAAAAGGCAATGCATTGTTCACAATTCAGCTGAATAAGTATCTGCAAAAACTTCCACTACTGAATTTCCCAATAAAAACATCTTCCTTTAGTACCAGGTAATGTAAAATTTCTATGTATAAACTATACAGAATTAAATTAATCTACAGAGCGTCAGTTTGTTGTGACACAGTATGTGCAAGTGTAACTAGACATGGAAGTGTTTCTAAATATTGTGAATTATGCTTTTATAGTGGAAGATTGAAATAATATGCTTAACTTAAAACAGTAGACAAATTAAGTTATAACATTGACAGTAACATCTCTTGCCCTAATATTAGCACATTATCAATGTCAGCACATCAAAGAGAAAAAAACACATCTCTGACAATACTAATGCCCAGCTAATTTGTGAAGACGCAAATTCAGATCTTTCACATCTGTAAAGGAAAATATTATTCTGGAAATCAGTAATCAACAGTATTAAGAGAGTTTTAAGTTTTCCACATCTTTAATTCCAACTGCTTCAAGGTAGCTTTCAGAAACTACAGCAGCTTTATTAATTCCCTCACTACAGTATTAGTTTTCTGACAAGTCTGGAAGAGTATTTGTTTAGGAGATGGGAAGCAGAATTTAAGAGCCACTTAATACTGAAAGGAAGTTCCAGGCAGTCAGGTAGCTTGAATCAATCAATCCCAACTCTAGAAATGCTCAGTCCATACCAAATGAAACTCAAAACACACAGATATTCATATCTTTTTATTTTATACTCAGCACACCAGCACAGATCCTTCCTCAAGCTTTATGCCAATGCTTTATTTAAGATGAGCCTTAAATACGATCGTGAAATTAATTTGCTTACAAACACAGAATCCTTATGCTTTCCAGACTTTGTGATGTTACCTTAGGTAACTAAAACTGTTTCCACACATACTGTTTTCAAAATGCAAAAAGGAAACACAGATAACCAGTAATGGTTACTCTAAGGCACAAATGGAGCTCAGCACCACTCTTCATGGCATAACATTTCAAAGAGAAGTTTTTAATTACACAGTAGTGCTAAGTCACAGCTATCATGCGTAGGACATGTGCTGATGCTGGGCATGACATTATTTCATCCATTCTGCAATCAAACAAAAAAATCACTGTAGTTATGCAATCTTATGACAAGCATATGCCTAGAATAATAGCACTCACTCTGCAACTAGTACCCAGTTCCTCTTAGAGGATTATAATTTGTTATTTACGAGCGTTAACGGCATCTAGACACAGTATTTAAATCTCTCTCAGGAAGTGTTAAAAATGCTAAGAACGTTGCCGTGGTAGCAGACAAATTATATTTAGTAGATGAACTCTGAAGCATTCTGTTGCATTAGTTAAGCATTCCACTATATTTATAATGCTCAAACGATCTTGGTTTTGTAGAAAACCATCACCATCTAGAGTACAGATACCAGGAGAACAAAGAGCCCGCGTTCTATTGAAGATCCTTCAGGAAGTTTTAAGTTTGAATGTTAACACACTCAGTTAACATGTTGTTATGAATACCTCTTTTAAAAGTAAAAAGCAGAGCATTCGTAACAGTATTAAGTTGCTTAATTCTTTTGTTTGAGCTCAAAAGTGATGTATGCCAAAAAATCTTGTAAATTGCAAGGTACACATTATAAACAAATGAATAAAAACACAGCCCTAATTAATATTTGTAAAGTATCTACTTTTGTTCCTTAAACAGTAACAATACCACATATTTTGTTCAGAATTATTTTATTTGGATTATAGCAATTAGTATCACTAATCAGTAGGCCAAATCCAGGCAGAAAGCACAGAATCAATTTCACAAGGCAACAATACGGACTAGTGTTTTAGCATACAAACCATTTCACTGCATTATCAAGTAGAAATATCTTCCAAACATGCATAAAAAGTCTATGCTTAATCTTTCAGAGCTCCAGGTAATACCAGATTCCTAAATATACAAAAAATACATTTAACTTATAATAATCTTCATGAATCAGACTTATAAAATTACAATTTTTTTCTTCACAACATAGAAAAAAATACAAAAATGACTGTATATAGTTTTCACCCAAATTTCGCTGACATAAATATACATCAAAACGTATGATTTGATGTATACTCACGAAAATTAAGCTGAAAAATAGGTTTTAAAATGACACTGCAGATTGGTCCACACAAATGCCAACCTTTCTACTGATAAATTAAAAAAACCCAACTTTGATAGAAACATCACATTGTGAAAAATTACAATTTACCTGCACTGTAACCAGCATCTTACTGTAATTTACAATATGAACATTTCTACAATTCCAGTTGTAAACTACACACTGGTAAAAACCTTGGTCTTTTAGAGGGTAATGACTAACTTGGACAAAGCCAGCATGGTAGAACATAAAGTATTGTTAACTGAACCAGTGCACACCACACAAAGACTACCAAAGCAGAAAGCATGTCTGCTGCAGAAGTTTAGTGATGCTGATGGAAAAATACAAGCCAAGTAAATAGCCTGTGGGGGGGAAAAACCCCAACCCTCTCGAATTTGTGACAAAGAGTACTAATCAAAGCTGCTTTTATGAAGTTCACACGAACCACGTTACAATTTCAGTGACAGATGAGGGGAAATTTGTTCTTATTTTACGAGGACAAAAAAACCCAGACGTGTGACCAAAGTCAATATTAGGGCATCGCACTACAGTTCTTACTCAAGATCGCCTCCCAGTGATTTCCATGGAAGCTAAACTTGCCAAAGCGCTGCAAGCTGAAGTGCTGGAATTCTTGTATGTACTAACTGCATGTTCATGCCTCAGAATATATTTTTTTACATCAACTTCGCTGGTAAGACTTCTTACTATCAAAGCAATTTCTTTTTCTTCTTTTAAAAGGATAAGTAACTCCATTTTCTTTTAAAAGGTTGTAGTTTATTTGCATTTGTGTGGTAAATTAATATTTCCAATTAAATATTCCATAATAAAGCTTATTCAGAAAAGACGGTTGTACAAGCCTTCTCCCTACTGACAGCTCTCTCTGCTTTTCCGTAGTGCAAATGCTATCTAATACAGATCTGTACTACATCTTTCTCAGCAACAGAGCTAGGAGTTTGTTTCATATAGGAAAATTACACAGCCATTTCTTTTTGCACTTTGAACCAACAAATAAGAAACCAAATCTTTTATTTGGGTGCAGAAATCAAATCAAGAAAAGTTCAGGAGCTGAGCATGAACAATATCCAGTAACCTGAGCACATCACGAAATCAGATCTTTTAGATGATATCCTTCAGAAATACTGACACTAACTCCTTTGATAGCAAGTATAAGCAAAATGAGATGTTTTGGTCAGAGGTGGAAGTTTACACTTTTTGAACAGCGAGTTCAGTATAATGCAACATTTCTCAGGTCACAACAAAACACCACATAACCTAATGGAGAAATTAATTGAAATTGCTGCATCTTGGAATGCAAAACCACTCTGAGGTTATAAATGGCCATAGTGTTTTTGATTACAGCCAGTAACTGTCTTCAAAAGGTTTAAAATAGAAGCAAAGATCATTATTGTCTCTTACCCTCTCCCTGCTTACAGTTGTCCTGTTTGTGTTGAACAGGAAAGGTGTTAAACGTGTTACTGAGTGCTAGGAAAATTCTGTCAGACTTTTTGATGGAGCCAAAAGAAATTATTGAAAAATGCAAAAATTTTTTTAAAAATAGCTCTGATAAACATAAACCAAAATAATCGTAAATCAGCTCTCCCCAAGTGCTAGAACTCTTGTGCCCTTAGGACTTACGTTTAGGGAGAGCTGCGATATGTGAAGCACAAGTAACTGGGACACAGATACGGGCTGTGCCCAGGGGGAGGTGCTGGCAGGGGCAGCACAAGGCCAGTATTGCAGGTACAGTGGTACTGGTCACAATTCGTTTCTGCACTGAAGTCACGATTTACAATAGGGAAGCCACAGAAGCCCTTGTGTTGTTGCCTGGTGGCTCTGACTGGCTTAAGACAGGACTATTCAACTATCAACTCCTAACAGAGCAAAGACCATAACCTACATTTTCTTTTGCCTTTGCTTGGATATCTGTTCATTTCCCTGCTCCCTTTGTCCCTTCCATTCCCTTCCACACCCCGCCTCCAATCAACAGTTTGTTCATAGCTTGGGGCACTGCTCACACAGCACTGGCGCATTCTGCCTTGCCACAAGGTTTTCTCAGATCTTTCATCTTCTGTTTTATCTTCCCAAGGGGAGTCTTAGCCTGAGAACCCAGAGAAAGCACCTAGGAAAATTTAACTTTCTATGGTCTTCTGCTCTTTGAAAAAAGCAGATGAGGGAAGGCTTGTCCAATCTGCAAAAGCAGTATGTAACACATGAGATAAGCTGCTTTCAAAGAAGGAGCTTATGACTTTGCAACATTTCAGAAGCTGAGTGCCTGGAACTGCCTGCTTGGATGTGCCAGAGTGATACACATCAGTCACTTGAGAAAAGTCAGGTTGAGGAACAAGGCCCTCAGATGATTCCACAGTAGACCAAGTAGTCCTCAACACTGAAAGATGAGTGCCACTGAGTTAGTGGACAGTAATTAGAGATGATAATTTTAAAGCAAAACAGCGAGAACTGCACCTGGTTTTGGGTGACTTATCTCCGTGTATTGTTTAGATTCATTACTGATATCACTAGAAATGTTACAGTTAGTATTATCATTTTTTTAATATTTAAAAAAGTATCCAGGGATGCAGTACTTAGAGGAATTTTAATGTTTCAGATAAGCATTATAGCCTCTGAATTAACATTAGCAATTGAGAACCATCTTAAACAAGATCTTCAGAGAACACACTCTGGTCAGACACCCTGCTACTTAAATTCCTAAAGAATCACATTCCCCTCATTTCCCATAATTGGTTTCCTGTTCTTGTTCCCATCACCTTTTAAATACACAACCTACCTTTCTAAATTCAAGCACTTTGCCCGGATTACATTGTCCACTGGAGTCTCTGACAAAATCCTAGAGTATTCCAGAGCATATTGTTTGCTTTCACAGCAATACATACAGTTTCTGGCATGCAATCAAGCACTTAAAAAAAAAGAGGTATCAGTAATACAATCCCAATTCAAGCATTTAGTGGGTTCAACTTCATCACTCATACTGCAACCTTCAGGCATTCAGTAATGAAAACCACTTAGCACATCATTTAAGGAAAAGGTTAATTGCCAAGCCGTATAAAGTTTAAAAGTTTTCTGAAGCACTGCAAGCCGAAAATTATTTCAATGTTTACATTGTGGAATTTCAGTGGAATCAGATTTATTGGTTATTCTTGGTAAATTATTGGTTTTTTACCTCTGACTTATTTTATCTTGATATATTCTTTATAAATGTGCTGGGTATTGAAAATCTGCAGCATTTTGATGTTTGAAAAGTTCTGAAAAAGAGCTGGAATTACTCTGACTTCTTGTGTTCTTCAGTGTGGGAGAGTACCTTTCGCCTCTGATGTAGCATATGAAAATACAGCTGAGGAAAGACTGAAGAGAAAATAGACGTAAGTAAATAAAGTATGAAATGAGGCTTACATGTCTATGTAAGATGCACAGTTACATAGTCAAGGTCACCAATTCTCTACTAAAAGAAAACATGCTTATCTGCTTTCCACTCAAGTCATCTATTGCCTTTTATTGTTTAAAGAGAGTAAGTGATACTGTTCTCAGGCTTCAAGTAATGTTTATTTTTTGCTAGAGCAACCACATTTTTCATCAAATGCAAAATGCCTTATTTAACTGCGCATGTACAAGCAGGATGACAAAAGTTTCCTGAACTGCACATGCACAATACAAAGAACATACATTGCAGGGAGGAAAAGTACTTCCAAGGAATGAAATTTCCAGATTTGTCTAATTTCTTACAATTCTATTGTCACTTTTTCAGGATCTAAGGAAATTTATACAAACTGATGCCTCTTCCATCTCTTCTCTCTTTATCCTCCATGCAAAGCTGCTTCTCCTCCTATTTCTAAGACTACATTACGTGGTATGTTTGCAGAACAATGAAGTAGGGGATGGAAAATATACATACATAAACAGCAGAAAGCTAAAATTGCCGTGAGACACTAAACCTTTGTGAATCATATGTAAATTAAACAAGGTCGGCATCAGCCTAAATTGTATCAGTTACACATGCAAAGCATTCATCATAAACATAGGCCAATGACCTAAACTAATTCGTGTACTAAATTTTTTTTCAAGCCAACATTTTTTCTTTTGGCTTTCTTTACCCTGTATTTAATTTCCTGATTGTTTCCCCCCTATCCTGATTCACTCCACCAGTGTTAAGCTGTGAATACATCTGTCCAGAGACATAATAGAACAGAGAGCCATGTAGTTTCTCCATTAGAGGTCTAAGTAATGGGGATCCATTATAGGCAAAGAATTTAAGGACATCTTTTCTAGCACAATGTCAATTTCGACAGACAAGTACTACACTTAAGAGATTTAAAGTGAGGTAAGTGATAAGGTGCAACTATCAAGAATGTAAAAACTCAATTTTTAACAACAGTTTTCAAAGCTTGCTTTCCTCGTGATATTCACATTCTCAAAATTTCCAAGCTCTTCAGTGGGTTCAGAAGGTGGAACTCTCGCATAGGTAACTTTCATGAATGAACAAGTGGACTATGGTGTAATCAACGACTGCAATGAACATTGCTTTTCTTGTGTCTCAGGAGTACCACAGGAATACCTCAACGTGAAGAAAAGGTAGCTAAGACTGCTTGAGTTCAAGCAGTTGGTTCTCAGAGTTAATGTACCGATTCACAATCATAATTTAAAAAATAATTTAAAAGACTCCATTCAAGTTACACATCTAGCAAACGGTAACAGATCATAGAAATTACCTCATTTAAGAGACAACAATTTTAATGGAGAAAGCAGGGTAAAATAGTTACTTGGGTTCACTGTGGGTTCCCACCCACATGTCCTGTCAACTGTGATTGAGCTACTGCACAAGTAGTAATTAATACTTGTGATTATTTTGACTAAAACAAAAGATATTATTCTGTTTGCTTGGAGTTAGTAACATCACCATTTTTGGAGGAGGGGGACAAGGTGAAACAAAGGCATGAAAAGTGTAGGGGTTTTTTTTTTAAGAACAGCTGGAAAAACTTATGAACTTTGATGTTAGAATTACAAAATGGTTCACTGAAAGTGCTAGTTACAGAGACAGCCACACTACTGAAACTTAAATCTTTAAATATGTTTTATCATTCTGCACAAACAAGGTTCATATAAAGACAGCTGGAGAGATAGCTAACAGCAACAACATCATCACTACGTTAATCTACCAGTTGGACTTTATTTGCACATTTAAATTTGCTAAAGGCTTCTGTGTTCCTATTACCCATTTCAAAGCAGCGAAGCTAAATCTTCCTTCCATCTATAGAAACATCAACTAGAGATTATGTCTCAACAGAAATAGTTCCCTACCCACTAATGCAAAAGCAATGTTCTTATTCCTGATAAAGAACTAAATTTTAAAAAGCTGTTTGAACTTTGTTCTCCTAAAAGTCTGTAAATGGGGGAAAATAAATATGAAGATGTCAACAGTTGCCAAGAAGTACCACAGTTATTTTCTATTCCAAGTGTAAGAGAAAAAACATGTATTGCTGTTTCGCAGGTGTTGGTAGAAAGCAATCCTTGTAGTTTTAACACTGACTTTTTTCTCTAGATAATTTTCCAAATTAATTTTGCAAAATTAGTTAGTCATATGTATGTTAATTCCACAATTATTAGCTTTTCCTGTAACAGCTTTTAATATTAAAAAAAAATAACAAACTCGTACTTACTTGGAATGTAAGAGATCATAACCAGGATCAGGAACGTATAGTAGTCAAAAGAAAAATTGTACTTGTTAGGTAAACTAATGGAATACAAGCCAGACTGCCTGACGAAGGGCAATGCAGCATATATTGTGAGTAATTCACCTGAGACTCCCATTGGATACAATACTATAAACAAAGTGTACCTAGAACAAAACATTTACAGAAAGGGTTAAAGTTATGCTAAACTCTGACAAAGTATTTGTTAAATGTTATTACGATATTCAAATTTTAAATTCCTCAACTCATTATTATTTCCCTTAGCTCTTTTTTGATGAACATTACTGTAAGGTAAGTATTCAAATCAGCAATCAGTTTGAATTATTTAAAGATTACTTTTGAGAATCTGAAAACTATCTTTAAAACTATTCTCCTCCTCCTCGCCCCTCCTCCCTTCCTTTGTTGCTTCGATTTCTGAACTCTTTGACAGAGGTCATTATATTACTTTAAATGGGGCCAAACACAGTTGAAATTAATCAATGACCTTATGATTGTTTCAAGCACAACCCTTGGATTCCAGGGTTACTGTTAAGCGTCAGTTCACTTACGGTTACCCCTTACTGTTAAATGTCAGTTTCAGACAAACACAATCACTTTGCCAATGGGAGTGAGTTCTGACAAACTCCTCTTTCAGCTTACAATGTAGTAGATTTTTTTTTAACCCAGAAATCTGCTGGAAAGAAGCTAAGTCGTCACATTCACAAACAGGGCAATTACCTCAAGGTAGAATCTAATTTTTTGTACTGCAACTATTTCACAAGATAAATATCCCTGTCAAATCAGTGCTTTAAGGCTGATTTCTATTATGCCACCTACCTGGCCCATTTGATGAGATAAGGGAGATGGTTTAACAAGCTAAACGTATAAAAAGAATAACGGATTATCTCAGTGATTGTCCAGGCCACCACAAACAACAGGACGCTATCTTCAGTTTGTACCTGTAAGAAAGAAAACAAGCTCAGTATGAATTCAAGTGTTATTAATTACTCACCAGACCTAAGAAAAGCTCAAAGAAATCAATTCCCACGGGTTGTTTTACTGCATTGTTTTTAGAGAGCAGACTTCAAGAATGAGCTTAAAAGCAACATTAGTAACAACAGTAAAACACCCTTCTTATCATGCTCCATGTTTTTCTAGTTGCTTAAGAACAGCTCTGCTTGGCTATCAGGTAACTTAAAACCTCCCATTCTATGCGAGGTAAATTAGTACAAGAAATCCCTGAAATGCTGAGAACAACTTGTAACTCTTCCTATTCCTGTAGAGTACCAGCTTCAATTTCAGTCCTATGATTGCTTCCCAGTGCACCAAGCAGAAAGGATGCTAACGCATTAGTCCAACACTTGATATCTTGTTTAGACTTTATATTCTGATCCTAGTCTACTACTTCTGAGTAGAAACACTGTTTTCCTCTCTCTACAGATAAGAAACTGGGTCGTACTTTAGAGCAGCAGCAAAACAGCTAAAACTGGGACACAGGCTGGGAGAAGAGAAGAAACAGCAGCTCAGAACGTCTCACGTCAGGTAAGCTTGACAACTACCTGCTGCACTGCTCGTGCTCCTTTTCCTGCTTATTGTATCTCCTTTTTCTGCTTATTGTATCCAGCATAGTTCTTCTGATGTTACACTCAACCCATTATTATGTTTCACTGCTTTACACCTCTTAGAGCTTTTATTTCAGACACACATCACTGAACCAGCTTTTACTCCCTTCACATATTGAAGGTTAATCTTCAAAAGCATGTATTTTTAAATGAGTTATTAGATTTGGAAGCATAATTATGAGGTTTAAGTTTCAGACAGAATAACACTGATGAAGAAGTATATGGGGTCACATACCCACACTACAAACTCTTGAGAGTAAATATGATTTTTATGGAGCCCTCCCCCTCCTCCCCTCAGGAGAATTAAGCAGAATTCTCAGTTGTATGTGTACCTTGAGCCCAAATTCAGTAGAACGTGGGAACAAAAAGAGCTCAACCACAGGAGCCTTCTTTTTTTTTTTTTCCCCCTCCAACTCTTGTTCAAAGCGAAAAGGAATTCAGTATGTATGGGTATGAATTTTGGGCAACATACATGTACAAACAAAAAAAGAAACAAGAAAAATCTATGGGCAATCAGAAAGCTTTTAATAGGTTTAATATGAAGGGACTGACCATATATTTGGGTGTAAAAACGCTCCTGAGGATTACCCATAAAAAGCTCTCTCTGTTACAGACTACAAAACTCAAAGATTTGTACAGAAATCTTGGAATATCCTGGAATGTAGAGCTGCTGTTAATCTATATCCTGCTGTGTACAACATTTCAAGTCACTTTCATTGCATTTTGCAGCAAATGCACCTTGTCCTTTTTCCACGTGAAACTCTACATAAGCAAATTATCATTAATCTCCCTTACATCATTATAGAAGAACAAAATCCAAAAGACATTTGAAGATTTTTCAGAGAAGAGATCAAATCTATTTTTACATTGCTACAAGATCCTAATCCTGTCTGGGGGCTGCTTTACAAGTAAGACTTGGTTCTCAACCTGGAAAAGTTAACAGCACTTCACAGATGATGCTCTTCCCGAAGAGCAACATACTTCACAAGCACTCCAGAGCTGCATCTTCTGGTCAAATCAGGAGTAGCAGCTTAGTGAGTTTATCTAAAACCAGGTGTCACAAACTGCAACCAGTACTTTGAAACCGCACTTCTTTCCCTAACTATGGAAGTCAGTAAAGCCAACAAACAAAAATTTCTAGCTTGAAGTAGCACCCAAGAACACGAGCAAGGACAAGAAACCGTGAAGCTAACAGTGAACGATAGATACTCGTAGAAGTAGAAAATCTGGCAGTTACAATCCAGTTCTACCACAGGACTTCTGTTAACACAGCCTTCTCAGGTCTAGTCTTTCCCATCTACTTTAATGTTTAGAAGTTATTAAAGCAGTTCACGCCGTTATAAAATACACACACACAATCCTGTTAAGGTCACTTAAAGAACCACTCATCGTGCCTGTATAGCTTGCGTCTCTATTTAAGGAAGAAATAATACTGGAAATTTGTGCTAGTTTTCACACAAAAGTGACCTATCCAGTTCTCAATTAGCTCCATTTTGGACAATAAGGAAGAGTACTGCGCGTTTTCATATTTTGACTACATTCCACAGCTCATCATTAAAAAGCATGTTTCTTAGACACTAACGGATCTGTCATAAGTCTGTCACTATTAGAACATCTCTTTGAGGACTGACAATTTTTCAATACTTCAAACAAAGATGTGAGATGCACGTTATCAAACCCCTGGGAACTGATTTACAAAACAGGCTCTCAAGAGTCTTATTCATTTAGGCACTGCTAATGCTCCATTTGTACTGTTCCTCTTCCAAGTTGAGGATAAGGAGGATAGTACAGCCAATAAACAGTAGACCCTTAATAAACCACTAAGCCCAATGCTGCCCTCAGAGCTCAACTTCTCTTCCTCTATTTTTTCATGTCAGTCTTTGAAGGAGGTGTTAGACAAAGTCAAAGCACATTTTACACTTTATTTACAACTTATTTGTCCAACTGCCTTAATAAGGGTCAATCATACCACGAGTATAATTTCTTGGCATGTGTTTCAAAGCAATTTATCATCAAGGAGGGTCCTGAATATATTTTAGCTTTTCTTCAATACGATGATTAGCAGACAATGTTTGTTAAAATAGAAGATAATCCACAGCCTTTTAAGATGCAAAGATGAGAACTGGGAACTGACAAAATAAAGCCTGAGAGGTTTTTACTGTTCTCCTTGCATGAAAAAGGGAAAGTCTACAGATTTCTTCACGTTAAGAGTAACAGTTTGACAAATTATTTGTAGAAAATTTCAGCTAAACACATACTTAAGCAATCCAGTGCAGAAGAGCAGCACTATGCAACTGTAATGATGAAACAGCACATCTCCATCCAGACCACCGGTTCTCTGGTGCATCAATTATTAAAAAAAGACAAAGCCAAACAAACAAAAAAAACTCAAAAAAAAGCCCCAAAAAACTTTCACAATAGGCACAAAGGGCCTGACAGACATCTGTGTTGTACAGTATTACTCAAATTTTACATAGATGTAAAGCAGTGATGAATCAGGCTTTTCAACTGCATTCACCCATTTAGAGTTCTAAACTTTCCAGCATGGACTTTTTACTACAACTTGGTCTTAAATATCATAAATTAAGATGCTCTTCCCTCTTTAAGTATGCTTTACCACTGATTGAAGATGTCAATTCACAACTGTAGATACTGGTGTCTTAATTGCCAGCTCAATATGCTGTACATGTCCTCTTCCCACCACCCCTTTTGACTCTGTGTCCTGGAAAGGTTCCTCTAAACACACACTGTACTTACACGCAACTCGTCTGTAACCACAACCAACTGGATAAGCACTAAATCACTGCCGATGCCATTTTTCAGTTACCCATCAGAACCGGGTGTGGAATTATCTATCAGAATGGAACTCGACTAAGGCCTGCCATGATGTCACCACATGGTCTCATTTTTCACACAAGTTCAAAAGACAACTTTGAACTGAAGGGCATCTTCTCTCCTCCTATGCCTAGTTTCTTCTAGCTTTTCACCCCAGTCTGCTTGTTTTCTTCCCTCCTTTGCAGGAGAAACAGTAAAATCCACCAAACCCATTACATTGGAAAGGGGTAACAAAGTGACTGCCAGTACTGTATTACATGCCAGGCTCTCCTCCACTAAGCTACCAGCTACAGATACGCTGGAGGGAAGGTGAATCTCATTGCTACCCAAAGAAGTGTGCAGTGCTTTAACATTTGCCATGCTTTAACATTTATTATAAATACTTCGATATTGAATTTAACAACACATCAGCACTAAATTCAACAAAAAGCACAAACATGTTAGTGGCAAGAAGCATGCTTCATATCACATCACATATCTAGAAGTGTGTTCTCACAGAAAGGAGGGATGCAATACAGATGTTTCTTCTTTTAACTATATTATATACGAAAACAGTCCAGAAAAGCAAGATACTGAACAAGTCTCACTCAAGAAGTTAAAGAGAAAAACTGAGTTTTATTTTACAAGAACCTCATCATGCAACTGCATAGCTTACAAGTTCCATAAAGCTGTGTGAGAATTTAATCCTGGACTTCACCATGGAGCTCACTTGTGCAGACAGTCCTTTAGAGAAAGTAGAACACTTGTGACACTTTCAATACATCTCCCTAGGTGAGAATGCATGCTCTCTGGTTGGGGGGAAGGGGAGGGGTCAGAACACAGCCTCTTCATTTGATTTATTAGCTCTAAGGCACAGATGAAAAACTCATCACAGGATTCCTCATCCTTACTATTCTTATGCCCACTTTCTAAGACATTAACAAAAACTAGCACAGAATACAGTCTCTCAAAAGACTTTAACCAAACAACAACACAAATGTGAGGAAAAAAACTGCATGTAGTATTGTTGAAAGAATCCTTGTTAAAAACAATCTTTGTTAAAAACTGAATGTTAGGCTGAACTTGTTGCTCGCATTTTCTCCCATTTTGCTGTTTTTTTCTAGTGAGAACGTAGGCATAAGTTTCAAAAAACCTAACCCACAAGCATTTTACAGACTTCCCTTTGATGTCTAACAGACAACACATGGAATAACTCTAATCCATGCAATCCAACCTTTAACATTTGGGTTACTTTGAAACCAGGAAGCAATTCACAAAAACAGATTATTGCTGTTCTTTATGAAGCACCAAGTACCCCAACATTATACACGGAATGAGCAAAGCTACAGGCATATTTCTTTAAAAATACTTTATACAATGTATCTAAAATCTAAAGTCTTGGGATTATGGCTTTTTAGAATTCAAAATCTAGTTTTTATCTCCAGTGAATTAACAGAGACTGGAGTACACTTATTTGCACCAAAAGTGAAATCCATCAGAAAGTAAGCATTTACAAGATTGAGTTTATTGAGAAAAATAACATTCCTCCACTTTAAATAGCATGAAACTAGGGCTCCACATGAGCAAGCACCATGGTATCAGAAAGAGCTGTTAACTGCTAGGAACTACAGTTTCTTACGTTATTCCACATGTGGATGGACACTCTGATAATAGGTTTGGAGTAAGGAAGAGAAAAAGCAGCTTCCTTGAAGACTTGGTAATGAGACAAGCTCCTTAAGACATTCTCCACGTCAAGTCACAAAAGGTCTTATGCATATAATGACAAAAGATGACCATGACTTATTGCAGGCAGCCATGCTGACAATGGCACCAAGACTAATTTCCTTCTTTAATGAGAAGAAAACCAGTAAGACTGGTTGGCTAAAGTAACAGCGCAGATGCTGCATATCTGGGCTACAAAAGGTATTTGGATGACATGAGTCAGTCAGCATGACCTGTATCAATTAAAGTATGTTTAAATTTTAAAATAGCTGTCAGAAATAATTTTCACATAAGATTGCTTCCAAAAGATTCTGCAGAGATTTTTATCAAGTACAGCAATATTTGGTGTAGTAAGCAATGAAGAAAAAACACCCAGACCCCAAAACCCACCTACACTTGAATGTAAGAAAAATGAATGAAAAGATTACCCTGGAAAGCGGTAACAGAGAACATCCAGGCATTGCTGTGCGCCAACAGTTGAGGGGGAGCCTCCACATGCCATGGTAAAGAAAGCAAATTGTGTATGAAAGAGGGGGGCAGTGAGGATATTTTGCTATTAATTATAGCACTAGTGAGATCAATACTAAAAGGCTGTCCCAAATTCTGGGTTCCGTATTACACACCGGAACCTCTTTAACTTTCAGTAAGGACTGCAAAATCTGTTCAGGAGCTAGATGTCTGAGTGAGAGAATCAGACCTCAGACTATTTGATTGTCAAGAAAAGATGACGTCAGGTTTATTTTTATTTCTTTTGATCTACAGAAGTTCACACAAACAATGTCACATGCTGGGATACAAACAGAAGTCATTTAAAGGAAAATAAGGAAGGGACCAACACTTGCTTTTCAGCATGAGTCATTAGTTTTTCTATCTATTTTGTATTTTAACTTACCTCTTTTACACTATGTGTTACTGCCCACGTCAGGAAAACCCTTGACATCACTTGGAAAGCAGTCAGAACAACAGAAGAGGGAACAATGCCTGGAAGATATTTTGCAATTAGTAAATATTCCTGACTATCGAGGTGGAAGGTGGGGAAATAAAACACAGCTACAGCGAAGCCCAGTTATTTGAAATTTTTGGAAAGAAAGCATTTAATTTTTTTTAATTTGAGAGTATGAAGTCTATCCTGTGTTGCATTTATACAGCTCCTGACAAGACTGTGCATCAAAATGCGAATAAAAGTAATCGGTCTTGTTGCAAGCACAGCACATTCCCTAATACACGAAACAGCTGAATAAGATGATAACTTCAGTCAAATAGCTTTTGGGATACAGTCTTTCAAATAAATCCTGTTTGATTAAAATATCCAATATATTCTTCGTTACTGTGATTTAAAGAGTAAAAACAATAAAGATGTTTTGCACAGTATATCTCAAAAAACAGCAAGCAAAAAAGTGTAACTACTTTGAAAAATCACTGATCTAGCCCATATTCTGATAGATTCAAAGTTTGCAATTCCTTCCTGGGAATAAAAATTTTTTTAAAAAAAACAAAACCCAAGGAATAGCTGATATATTGGTAGGTACAAAAACAATTTTAAGATTTTCTCAACTGGATTTTGCTGGCTCTTCTAAGTTCTGAGGTGCTAATTAAACTGCCACCAAAAGGATACTATACACCCAAGTCTGACAGCAGGAAAAATTTAGACTGCAAGATTACACAAAATTTCTGAACTTCAAAGCACAAGGTTTCATTTTCTTCCAATAGCATGATGAAAACAAATGCAAGAGCAGTTACAGCTCCAAAAATAGAGTAAATTAAAGTGCTTCTAAAACTAATGCAAACCACAGCGACCAACACAATAGCCTCAGAAAGACATAAAGACCAAACTGGAAAGCGGAAGAGGAAGAAAGACTAAGAAAAGCCAAAAGCAAGTTTCATTAGAATTACTTTCAGTCACAGTCATTATGTTAGTCTTCTTTCAGAGTAAAAAGGGAAAAATCCTACACACACAGTTCAGTTTTATCACATATTGTTCATAACCTAATTTCTGTTGTAAAACCTCAGGGCAGAATTTCAGTTACTCAGCCAACAGAAAAGGGGGTGCTATAAAACCCCACAATCTGTACTCATTAAATGCTCAGACCTTTTCTTTTCTGCAATTAAGATCATCCCTTCCTAAGCAAGATAACCTAATGTTCTTGCAAAGGAACCTACAAATAAGCCAGAAAGACTGTGTAGTGACCATTCAGATCATCTCACAAGTAAGACAAAGTTTTTCATTATAGTCAAGACAATGCCAATCTGTGTCAAAAACAGAAGATGAAAATAAGCAACTCACCAGCTACAGTTTATGTAAACTTGCCTCTAATTATTTACTTACTGCACTGAAAAGGTATCCAACAGACAATTTTAACTTGGTATTTTTAAAAACATGTCACCACTTATCCAACACTGCACGTGCTGGAACAGTGGCTGACAGAGGGCTCAGATCCAGAACCATGCCCAGACATCTTCCAGATCCTGGACTAAGCCTTCCACCTCCAGCAGGAAATCCTCCAATTCCCAACAAGTGTCTCCTCTCTCCCAGAGCTCCTGACGGAGAACAGGCTGTATGCATAGCTTACAGGTGGAGCCCTCGTACCCCTCCTAACTGAGCAGGTTAAAGCAAAGCCAGCTAGTGCTAACCTTGGCTTACCAGAGGGTTACTGGTAATCATCACTATGGTAGGAAGCGATTGCTGGTACTGCGGCGATTCTGTAGGCTGGGCCTGTACTCACCAAGGCCTTCTTGCTTTTCTCCATTCCCTTTACAAACTCTGTACTACTATTGCTTCTTCATTTTGGTGGCGCTTATCACCTCTTTCCACACCAAGTTCCTCCAGGCAGAAGCTCTTCCATGCTATCAACGTCATTCATACACTTGGATTCTGTCTGCTAAACAAGTCAAGGAACTGCATGTTCACTTTCCGTTTGCCTGTCCTTCAGTCTTCCCTCTTGGTCTCTGCGATACGTTACCTCCTCTCTCCACACAGAGCTCTCCTTCCTCATTTTTTAAATCTTTGCCACATACCAAGGCTCTGTTCTTAGCCATGCTCGATAGAGACATTCTCCTATCAATCTTCATATTTTGAAAAACTTGCCTCACAGATGCTAACATTTCAGATTCTACTGAAAAGATGCGGAGAGAAAAGTTATGCTGATACACACAGCCATCTGTCAGAGATAAGCTCCTCTACTGACAGAGAATTACAGCTCTAGTTATAGCAATTAGTTTTGCAGGGGCAAAGGAATCTGTAAATTTCCTGTTTCTCCTTGCACAGAAACTTTTATCAGAAAAAGTAAGTAAGAGTCGGGCTACAGCAGACAGCTGCAGTGTATCCAGCTGTGCAAAAATACCCCTCATTTTATTTAGCTGACAAATGCTTCCATTAACAGGGAAAAAAAACCAGAATCCATGGGCAATGTTAATAAAATAAGTGGGGTTTTTGTAAAAACCTTTGTTAGGGAAAGCAAAAAGATAGAGTTATATGTTATAAAATGTTGCAACATTCCACTAAGGGCTCTCTTCACTGATATTGAACTGTGTGACTGAGGATAACATGGGCTAAATGGATCCACACTTCGAATCAGCGGAGCCAGCATTATTAGCTTTGCATGCAGACAGGCTGGTACAGTCATCTTCTTTTCTGCTCTGCACGAGCCTGGAAGGTGAAACACAGGACTCTCTCCTGCTATTCACTGATTTGGGTGGACATAACACTCCAAAGTGCAAGGAAAAGATAATCCAATTAATTTTTTTTACATTTTCTTAGATTTAGTACTTGTAAACATTGGCATCTGCACACAAGTTTAGCGTAAGAAAACAGCAGAGCGTTATAGATTTACAATGGTAAAATAGCATTTTATCTGCAAGTTTTTTTTGCCCAGTGTTCTGAGATTTAACTTGTCCTTCTTACCACTTTTTAAGCAAGACTTCAAAAGTTTCACATTTTATTATTAATTTTTGACAATTTTTTTAAAAGTAAGTATGGTTTATTATGGTAAAAACTAGTAATTGAGATTTAGTAAAACAGAACAGTATTGGAAGGACTGCATTGGCATCACAGGCAACTATACGATACGTATAGGTTACTATGAGAAGCCTTTACATTAATTTGAGGAGTATATGATCATTCATTTCTTGAGATGATCTGTGCATAGCCTACAAACTGCCCTTTATAAGGTAACATTTTCAGAGTAAGGGAATTATGCAGGAAGGGCAGAAGTACTTTATCAAATACAGCATTCGACTGCCCTCTGCTGACACATTTATGTATATGCTTTTAAGTTTTCCAAATGTCACATTGGGTTATTCAAAAAAAACCCAAACAACTTTTGCACAGGAATTCAATATGAACCTACTTGTACCACAGTGATACACCCTCCCGTACGTAGACTGTTTGTACGATACGTAAAAAATAGCAGGTTTGTAGCTGCATCTTTAGGAACCTTAATGCTGTCTCATTCTTTAAGTAGTGGCTAGCTAACACTCAAGAGAGGAAGGAGCTCAAGCACATTTAAACCCACAAGATCAACTACTTAAACACAAAACTACCTCTTTGTGAAGACTGGATTGCTTAGAAAAAACAGAGTTAAGCAAAGGTCTGCAGACAGGCACTGCTCCCTTTTGTGGCACACTGGCTTTGATCTTACAGAGACTGCGGCACAGCATCCATCTGTGACCGAAACTGCCAAATGCTGAGGCCAAACTGTCTCTACTCACGACGACCAACAAACGACACACGATGCAATCCTCTCCCTCGGGCATGAGACTCCGCAGGTGGACTGAACCATGACACTGCTGCTGACCCCAGACCACATACACACAACTGAGTTCCTGCTGCCCAGCTAACAAACAAGTTACAGAGAAGCCCTGAGTCAAGTCTTCAGTAACTCTTACTCTCCCAAATGGTTCCATTAAAGCACAGCCGACTCTGGGATAAAGCGTGGTTACCTCTGCCTCATTTTACAATGTATATCTATGCTCTATGGATGCGGGCAAAGTTTCAGTGCTTGAAACATTATTTTTTTTGGAATTTAAATTACTTCCAGCTAGAAATACTTTTTTTTTTTAAGGAAAGACAGCTTCGTACAGAATATTATAGGATATAGAGATGCAGAGTAATGATTTACTGTAAAACATTTATAAACTGCACTAAGATTTGTAGCATTGGAAGGATCTAGATAAAAATAGAATGTCAAGCAACTGAAAACCTGTTACACTATTTTCCTTTTTTGTGATTTAACTTGCCAAACAATTTAGTAAAAAATTGGAATGTACTTCAAGCAAAAATTAGTGAGTTATGCCAGAAATAAGTCTGGCAATTCATGGACCGTAACATTTTTAATGCTAATATATTGCTAAAACCGCAGTCTTCGATAAAAATAATAAAACTGAAAATTTGCAAGCTTACCAAGCGCACAATGCAGGATCTAGAACAAAAAGAAAAATTCAAGTCACTGACATTTCAAATGAAGCAATTCAGACACACATTTAGTTCTATCACAAGAGCTTAAGATTCGGTATTTGTATTACAAAGATTAAGCTTAATATTTAGCTCTGCTCCCCAAGCTAAATAGCAGACAGTAAGCTGCTCTCTGCTTGCTCAAAGGAAAAATTCAGCATTTGTGTGAGGCATATCTTATGTTTACCTTCAAATGACTCTATAAATGCTAATGAGAAAATGGGTACCTAGACAGCACTGTTCAACAAAGGCTGCCTTATTTCTCCTAACGAAAACACTCATGCAAATATTAGTAACTCCAGCGAAGAACACTACACCTACCTCAAGCAAAGCTCCAGTCTGGAAGAATTTCAGAGGCTTTTCTATTGAATAGTACAGGCTATGGTAGCTACCTTTAGCCAGGTATGCTCGAACTAGCCCAACTGCAATAACAAGCCATCTGAAAGAGAGAAAAAAGTCTAAGACAAGGAGACATTAAGCAGAGCATAATTACAAAGAAATCCTTAATTTATCAAAGTTAAAGATTATGCATTTTTAAACATCTTTCAGCACCAACATGATACCAATACCTTTAACGTCTAAGTTTATTTTTCAGTGAGCTGTATTTAATCTGGTTATGGAAGGTATTCATGACATTTTAAATAAGATTAGCATCAAATTTTGTTTAGTTTAAGCAGAAAACCATTTACTGCTAGTCAAAGATGTCTTACCATATCATAACTTAAAGTAGTATGACTTGACTTCAACAATTAAGATTCAAAAGGCATTAATTTTAATGTTTCAGTTCAAAGGAAACCCTCAGACTTTAAGATAGACCATCCAGCTTAATTGCTAACATATATTTTATGAGAAATAGTTACAGACAGGTAACTGCAAGAAAACTGAGCCTGCTAAAGCCTTGAAGGTGGCAATAGCCATTCCTGTCCCAACTTTCCTTTTTAAGCAACAAATGTATCTAGACCTATGTAAGTAGTGCCTATATAACTATACTATAAACAATGTGACCTGTTAACCTTGCTGATTTTCCCCTCAGGTAATCTAGGAAGAAACTCTAAAAAATTCTTCCTCCAGTCCTGGCTGATGGAGTAACATCTTTCACTACCACAGCTGTCCAGAGTCGGTGTTTGCCCACAACCTCAGAAATTCTTCAGCGAAGCCTAGGACAAGCCACAAAACTAAGGTGAGTTCAGTCTGGCAAAACGCTTTTTCATTTGAAATTAGCACCTACGGTTAACTTTAGCTTCCGACTGCTCAACTGCTTGTGGCAAACATGGGGAGAAGGGCTGGTCAACAGGAAGAAGGAATTCTTACCAGCGGCTCCCAAACTTTGCACTGACAGGCTCATCCTGGCTGTCTTGCCCTCAGCTGCTTTTAATGCCAGCCCACTTTATCTCCACCTCCCTGCAAACTCAGAAATGCTGCTGCAAAGTTTGTGCTGACAGCCACCAAGTGTCTCTGCTAACAACAGGACACCTCAGTGGAAGTCTGTATGGACATGCAGAACATCCCCTGACTATGCAATAGCTTTTTACCCTTTGGAAAAAAATCTGCAGCTGCGGTTTTGCAATAGGGAAGATGAAGAAATTCCCTTAATTTAAAGCATATTAGATGCTTACAAGTACCACATTAGTGTAGGTATTATGAAATATACACAATTATTGTCCCAAATGTAATATTTGTTTGAAATACACTGTAAGTTCAGATTTTCCAATAAGAAGTAACTCTGGCATCCAAGTTTGTGTTTGTAACAACATTTGTTAGTACAACGAAAAAAAAGCTAATTTCATTTCTGCCTGGACTTCTCAGAAGATGAGCACCAAAGAAAAGCAGTAGGAGTGGGAAAGAGAAACAAGGAACGGGACACAAGGCCTCCTTTTTTTCAGTAATGACAAGTTATTTCAGTTAAAGCTGTCTTGTGAAACCAAAAGACAAACATTTGGCAAGTAATTGCCATTTACAAAGGGAGAATCAGATTCAATTGGTATTTGGACTTCAGTGTAGAATAAACCAGTAAGCACTACAGTAGTTACGACTCTCCCTTGCAACACTGACTGCTGCTCCTCTAGAACAGTAAATCAGAGCAGGTTGACGCTGTCCCGTTCGTATCTGTCAAGTTTCTCCATTTTTCCCAGTATTCCGTGTTTGTTGAGAAACCTCACTGAATTGAGCAATTTCTCAGGTTGCACAAGATACCAGTTCTTGGCTGAGCCTGTTCTCACCTTAACCGAGTGACTGCTCCCAGAGGAGCTCCAGCCCCTTGCTCTCCACCCTCCTTGCCGGATCACTCACTCCAGAAAGACTGTACTTTCCATCACCATAGACCACGTCTCTCTTTTAATAATAAAATTACTGTCCTTCAAAAAAACATTTGACACAGATCAAAGTAATAGTCCATACAAAATTGAAAGCTGTGCCTACGTTGCGTTGAAGATTTTAGTACCTCTGTCCTGCTTCTGTGATCCTTAAATAGCTCTTCACCTGCTATGACTAGAGAAAATGGAATAGGAGCAGGTGAAAGTGAGGAAAATCAACTGAAAAAGCAACTTGGGGAGAAGTTTAAAAGGGCAGCAAAATGCACCACTATCACACAGAAGCTAAGCTGTAAGTTAGTTTTTCCAGCTTTCTCTGACCTAGACACTAAAGTCTACCTGACATTCCAGCTGGAGTTACATTTCATTAAATTACCACTGCAATGCTTGTAAGCTTTAAGTTAGACTCTTACACTCTTTGATTAATCCAAAATAAGGAAAACAAATACTGCATACACACAATTTAACTTTTTTGTACTTTCAGTTGCTCAGACTTGATAAACAAGCTTCGTGCTCAGTATAATTGCCTTTATTTCTCTTACAAATTATTAAAAGGTGTTTTCTTATGCAAAGTGTACTGAGGTTCTCCATCATTTATGCAAGAGAATACAGCAAAGTTATGCAGTGAATGGACCTGAAAAGGGAGAAGTGTACTTTGACTCTCGACCACCGGTCAGTGAAGATGTGGACAATGAAACGTACAACCCAGAACACTCTTTGATCGACACTGGTAACATGAACCCTTGCAAATTTGAAAGCTACTACATTAAGATCTATCTTGACGAGTGAAATCCTTTTGAAATTCATTGTTTACACCACCATCAGCTGCTTCTACCCAGAAGTACTAGTCAGTTACTGCACCCGACTGAAAATAAGAAACATTATCACATTTTAAAGCAGCTTGTCAAACATTGACACTCAACTCTAACAGAATACCCTCTCTCCCAGCTCCCCCATCATTCAGTGATTTCAGTTGACCATGGTTTTTAGGAAATAATTTCTATGCTGCATCTACGCCTCCAGAACGAGCTTCCTATGCCAGGTCAGACATGACTACGTGACTGCGCGCTGTGGCGGGAAAACAAGTGTTTGACTGAATGCAAGAGCAGAAAGATGCAATGCTTTCTACATCTTAATGCTTTGAACCACGGTCAAAATAACCCAAGCCAGGACAGCTGAGAACCAACTGCAGGCTGGTTGTTCCCTGTTGTGTCACGTTGGCCCCTTTTCTGAAAAGAAACACCCAAATATGTGAATCAAATGGTAAGTGTACGCAGCTTCACTTAGGGATCCACGAGTGTATATGCTTTTTCTACTGTTTTGCTCTTGCAAAAGCCATTGCATTACCAGGAATCCATATACTACACGCGCTACAGTATAAAATTAGAAAGAAGATCTATTCTTTTTAGAATCAATGTTTTCTTTAGATAAGTCAAGATAAGTGCAAAGTAAATACAATAATTATGCTGAGATTTTTCAATTGTTACTTGATCCATTTTAAATAAAGCTAATACCTAAGGCAAATACAATATTAAAACATTTGCTCTACTACCTGGTTATTGCACAACAAAGCTGTTGTGTGCTTCAGTTTAAAAGCCACCTTTTTGTAAAGAAAAACAAAACAAAACAAAAAATTACTTTAAAGAAAAAAGAATCTCGTGCTTTTACAGCATCACTTCATCATCTGGGTTTTCACAATTCTCTTTCCGAGGCAGCGCTGTCTGAGAAACTAAGTCTGTGCACTCTTGATTGACACCGGGACAGTAACTACTGCCACCAGCTGTGTATCAGTCTTCTCATAGCAAGAAATGAGCTTCTGCCAACCAACTCCTGAAAAACTACCCTATTATGAAGTCTTCCAAAAAGAAGAAATTAACTAATAAGGTTTTTCTTCCTAAGCTCAGCATTGTATATTGCGGAATTTCAGCGGTGTCCAAGGGAAGCGCAAAATCCTCATCCATTTGAAGACAAGTCATCAGTCAGAGCCCTCAGAGACCTACCCCAAAAGAAGAGCAGTGAGTGACAACACAGAGGTATGAGCCCTGATCACAGGACTCCTATGGGAGCTCCCCAAATCACAGAAATCATCACAAATATGCCCAGAAAAAGCTGCTCACGTTAAAGCACCATAAGCCACGCTCCATCCAAGTCTGGAATTTTCTAGGTTTGGTATAAATCAGGAAAACAGGTAATATCGTGATCAAGATTTATGTGACAACAAGAAGCTAAATACACATTTATGTTATTTACTTCTGAGTTTCTAACACTTGGATTTGTTTTAATTTTTTCTTCAGAGGAAATAAAAATTTCATATGCTCAGGAATTTGCCTGCCATGATAAAACTTTCAGGATCTTTAAAGAAACTTTCCATTTACACTGCAATTTCTCTCTCAGGTTTCTGAGATCTTTTATAAACGTAAGTGAACTAAACATGAACAGCTCAATGAGCAGCCAAATGCCTTCACTTTTAAGAAGAGCTCAAAGAGGTTAACTTCTTAACATTATGCAGGGAGATCACAACAGAACTGAAGAGACCTCCTGACTGCCTGGACCGTGTTGTATTGCTCATGTAATTACGTATTTCTGAAACAAGAGATTCATTTTTACCAAACTGGGGGGTAATTATCATCCCCCTCATTATCTGCTGAGGGTATAAACCTGCTGAGCAGTTCTACTTCACAGTAACACACCTTCTGGGTAACGAGTACCTTACAAGTACGGAGCTCTCCCCTCTCAGCTACCTTTGTTACATAGGTGTAACTATCTTACAAGCTGAAATAGCATCAGCTCTCCCCAGCAAAGATAAGAATCCTCATGTCCAATTGCCTTATGAAAATAAATCATATCTGTATTAATTCTATACTATTCTTCCCCAGAAACAGTGAGACCAGTCTGTTTGCCTGACTCCTCACCCGTCAGGCATTATCTAGCAGAAAACAGGCTCATTTGGGATGCATTTTAAAGGCCCTTTTCTCCTCCCACCCGAATACCCTCAATCTTTCAAAAAATGATTTTATTTTTGTCTGGATTTCAACATGACTCTACAGCATCTTAAAAAAAAAAACAAACCAAAAGGAAAAAAAGAAAAGGTCTCCTTTATATGCATTTGAGAGTCCTCAGTTGCC